GTAAATCATACGAAGTACCTTTCGCGTTTGTTCAAACAATTATTAAAATAAAATGTTGGTATGGGTTATGGTCTTAGAAGATTAATTTTCTAAGACCATGGTATGGGTAGACATTGTCAAGCAAGATATGCGTTAACGAAATTGTTTTTCGATAGTAATAATTTTTATAAGATTTATTAGACTTTTATTCAAAAACATTTTAATAGTTTTGACATTCAGTCAATAACAAGTCTGTTACTAGTTTCCAATCTTAATGGACCTTTGGGCCACATTCACAAATTAAAAATGGTTCTAGAGCCAGACAATATAAAAAATGTATATGATATTCAATGACATTTGCTAGTTTTGAAATTTACTGTGGGCCGCATAAAAGAGACATTAATTGCCGACCCCACTGTTCTAACTCAATTAAAATTAAATGATTAAATGAACATATTTAAATCAAATCATTTTTTATGATGTAAAATTTATCTTAATAGGTAGGTCATTATATCAATATTATAGATAAGATACATTATGCGTAAACTAGATTTATTTAAGGTATAACATTAAATCTGAAAATATTCAAATGTACTTGTGTGAATATTGTTTTTTGAGTTACGAAAATACATTTTCAGCTAAACAATAATTTGATCAGGTACCTACCTACTTATAAAGTTCCATTGAGGCCTTTATTATTTTGCCCGGGCCGAGCTATAAAGCTAGTCCAACTCTGATTTTATCTTTTCCCCGTCCATGTCTGTCAACGGCAAACCATGTTAATATTTTATCTTCGTCGTCGCACTGCAATGCGATTATATCGCACAACTTGCCGCGCGCTTTTTCGAAACGATTCATAATTCCTATGTTTTACCTTTTCCGGTTTCGTTCGCGTAGCGATTTTCACTATTGTCCACGCCACGTCGATTTCGCGTATGGGTCTTAAGCCGCATCCGCACTAAAGTACGCATAAACCGAGTATCAGGGCCGGATTATGGTCATAACATGAGAGGGCTATTAATTTTGGTGAGGCTCTTTTACAAAAAACAATTCTATTTTTTTTTTCTTCAGATTTAGATCATTTGTATATTGTTGAAAATTTTAGTAACATTGTATTTGATGCCATTTTATATGAAAAAAAAAAAATTGGCTGCTGATTATGGCCCCTTTTAACTTGTGGCCCGGGGCTTTCCCCTTTGATTTAGTTCTGCCGAGCATGTGCGTTCATGCTGATTGTCGTGTGTGCTTAGTATAGACGTTTTCATGCACAACAAGCTTGTACGATAACAAACAGTAAATATGGTTATTATCACGTCGCACAACGAACGCGAGCCGACCGACTCAAAAGTTCACAAACGCTCGTGCGTGTTGGACGTACTGTTCACACACAGACAAATTTGTTATGAGTAGGGCTGGGATTTCGATGCACTTCGCATTTTTTTTCGAATCTTTCTGTACGATGCTCGTTTTGTTATAAATATGTTTTAGGTATTTTTAAATTTGAATAAGAAATTTTATTTTGCATTTTTTTGCATTTTATGACATTTTTTCATTTTAAAGTCATTTTTCTCATTTTTAAGGCATTTTATGAGTTTTTAATTTTTTTTTTGGTGTTTTTTAATTTAAAATGATAGATTATAGACTTTTTTCTACCGATGGATTAGTGTTGTTGTGTGAGGTATGCAATGTATAAGTTGCTGTTAAAAAACGTTTTATCATACAACAACATCAAGAGACAAACATATTAATGAAGTACAACGAAGAGAAAAAATTGAAAAACAAGAAAAAAATATGTGTATCAACAAAAATTTAATGGGAAACAACATAAGGCACGCTCTCCTGATTTATTGTAAAAATAAAGAATAATTTTTTATTTATTAATATATGAAGTAAAATAACATATTTAGGTACATGTAATGTAATTTTTTTAAATTTTAAAGCCATTTTTGTCTTTTAAGTCATTTATGCATTTTTTTAGGGTAATTTTTCACGATTTTTAAGGACATAAAATCCCAGCCCTAGTTATGAGCACACAGCCTGGTCTGTGCGTGCCCTAGGGCGGACACGGCTTTACATATTCTGGAAGTGTGTCATAGGCACAACTAGAGCCCAAATTTTGGTGATGCTGAAATTACATAGCTCGCACTACGCCTACACTCCCTCCCCCCAAGTACCTTATCACAATTTAATCATTAAATGTATCATAACAACACACATACCCTAATATTTTAATTTATAAATATTAACAAACATAAATTGTAACATATCTATTTATTTCATTATATTATTTTATTTAGGTCATACAGCACTAAGAAATATACAAATTAAAAAAATATTATACAATATACAACATATAATATTTATACTGGTATTATCTTGAGACGACTAGTGGAATATTGCATGATAAAGTATTAAGAATTTCTTCAGGTTCTCAAATTCTAAAGATCTTCTATTTGAAGACAATAAGTTCTTGTATATGGAATAACTACGCTCCACCTCGACAGAGGTTATAGGTGCATATTTAAAATATATTGATTCTTGAATGGATATTGAAATCCTTTGGCAGTTTATTTGCCCCAATTTCGTCGCCTGATAATATGTTTGATACGTCTTGTAAAACTTCAAATCCCTTATTTTTGTCAAGAACGTTTTTAAACTTGTCATTAATTAACTTGCTTGTTATTCTTGACACTGAACTTAATTTGTCACAAACGTGTCTAACAATTTCAATGTTTGTAGCCAAAGGAAGTCCTTGAATTTCTAATTTTTTTATGGTGTCAGATAAATATCCATAATTTGCGTGAATGAAACTAAATTTATTTCCAACAATGGATCATATAATATTTTTTGAGTTTCTTTTATTGAAATTACATCATCTGGATTCAGTGGCGGCGTGACGGCAGATTTTTGAGTCCCTGGACTCAAGTCAGTGGGTGGGTAGATGGGTGGGTATTGACCATTGGGTATCGAGTAGGTATGTACCATGTAGAACGAATAGTGTGGGAGCTCTTTTTACAAGCTACCCTTAAATTTATTTTTAGGTGGGTGGGTGGGTGGGTGGGCAAAATCTTAACAGGACTCCTGAAGTAAAATATTTCGCGCCGCCACTGTCTGGATTGAGCTCTAATATGATATTTTTTATATCTTTAAAATATTCACAGTAATTACCCATGTACCCCAACTAATTTTAATAGGCTAGAGAGGTAATGGTATTGTCGGAGCTTTATTTTTGAAAAATAATACACGGGCTTGACATTTTAAAAATATTTATTTTACCTTGGCAATCAATTTGTCAACATTTGAAAATCGTTTTCTTATTTCCTCAGCAATTCTATGTACACCATGTGCTACACACGTTATATGCACCATTGAATAAAGCATTCCAATTGATTTTCCTGCTTTGATCATGTACGGCTCCGCATCACTGACGAATAGCATTATGTCGTCATGGCGTATACCATCAGGCCAAAGATGAAACATCAACCGGTCAAAGAATTTAGTGATGGTCGAATGATTTGTTTTCTCAAACACCTCCGAGTTTAATAGGTAAACTTGCCCCGATTTGTCTATTTCTAATGTTCCAATAATAATATTGGCAATATATCTACCTTGAACATGGGTGGTTTCATTCACCAAAACCCATATTTTATGTCCAGCAATATTCGATCTAATTTTGTTCATAGTTTCTACGTAAATATAATTTACCTAAATCCCAAAATAACTCGTACTATATATTTTAACATACCTCTTACCTTTAAAAAAAAATTATATTATGTTATTCACCAATTACAAGTATATAAAAATGTACAATAAATGAGAAAAATCAACAAAATTGTATTCAAATAGAAAAAATCGTCGACATTGCAATCAAATTGAAAAAATGGCCAATATTGCAAAAAGTTGCATTAAAAACTTTTAGATATAAATTCGTACTCCCATGAGATGAATTTAAAATCTACTTAGTAACAAATCCAAGCAATGGAAAAAAAGTTGCAAATGCAACAACATCCGAGCCCTAATCATAACTATGATTATTGATGTTAGAATAAAAATCATATAAAATATTACATATGGAGACGTCAATGTAATAAGAAATAATATTATAAAAAATAGAAAATACATTAGGATTTTGTTTCCTGTAAATAACAGTTTTAATTATTTATTATTTATTAGCTTACTAGAGGAGATTAACCACTGAATTCAATAATTATGATTAATTTACTTTTAAATAATTCAAACAAAATGTTAGTACTTATAATCATCTTGGTATAAATGAAAAAAGTTATGAACATAGTCCATATTTCTACATATGTAAGAGCGTTGCATTCTTATTAGCTCCAGGCGTCAAATTTCCTAGATTCGACATTGAATATGTCTATCAAGTATAGTAACTATTTTATTTTATTACTATTTTGCTTTGGTAGTCAAATATCGATGAATTTTTAAATTAAATAATTAAATTATTGCGATAGGAAACATTAGCAGTTAGAGTGGTTTTGAAAATGACCGTTGAAGGGAAAAGAGGAAGAAGAAGACCAAAAAAGAGATGGTTGGATACGATTGAGATACGATATGAGGGCTGTTGGTATGTGCGTAGGGGATGCAGAAAATCGGGACGAGTCTAGATTTAGGACATGGGTGGTCGACTCCAAATAGTTAGGAGAAAGGCGAAGGAGAAGAAACAGAAGAAGTCAAATATCGGTGTATATCGAAAAAGATTATGTTCTCATTCGAATTGTACATAAAATTTAATAATTTTTCAATCAATTAATATCCATTGAACACAATAACTTCAAATTTCAACTTTCAAGTTTTACAAAAAAAAAATATGAAATTTGGGAAGTACCTGAAGCAGCTAAATCAAAACAGATTATAATGGAACCACTTACATTCGGATACCAAGTAATATACACCACATTGCAACTGGTTTGACAAACGCATAGTTTTCTAGGTTAGTTATCGAACGACATATGTGCGATTGTTGTTGAAATTAAACACTTGTCACTCATTAATTTTTTAATCTATTGCTTATTAAAATTATTATTGTTATTAAATATGATAATTAATAATTATTGATAAAAATGTATTCCAAGTGTTCCAAATGATTTATACTTATGTTTTGATGTAGATCATTAGTTGAATACCGATATTGCTTTAAATTAATGTGAAGCTTATATTTCTTTTTTGCAAAATACCTAGTTTTTTTTTTGTTAAAAATGACGAACGTACTTCCGTATTGTTATGTTCGTTGCTGTAATACCTTGAGGAAAAATCCAAATTTTAGAAAGATTATTCATCGCTCATTTTACAAGTATAAATTATTATTTATATCTGTTTAAATAAAATCATGTATCCTGTAATGCCACTGGTTTTTTTCTTGAATCAATTTTATCGTTGATTTACTTATTGTTAAAAATAAAATGTTTACATATTGTATATTTCTATTAACACTTTTTATATAGGTATTTACATGTAATTTCAACTAATATTTAGTATTATATTTCTAGGAATTTCATGAAAGATAGAACATCTCTTGATCACTTAAAAAATGTTTACAAATCTAAACTTCTACCTCTTGAAAAGCGATACTTGTACCATGAATTTCATTTACCGCCATTAACTGATCAAGACTTTGAGGCAAAACCAATGGTATTATTTGTTGGTCAGTATTCTACTGGTAAGACATCCATGATTAGGTAAGCAACATTATTCAAACAATCTACCTATCATGGTTAAAATAATTCATTGTTTGAAAGATTAATATATATTTTTTACTTATAGATATCTCATTGAAAAAGATTATCCAGGTATTCGGATAGGTCCTGAACCAACAACAGATAAATTTATGGTGGTTATGGGTGGTGATAAAGAACAGTCTATACCCGGTAATGCTCTTGTAGCTGATCCAACTAAACAATTTAGTGACTTATCTCGGTTTGGAAATAAATTCTTAAAAAAACTACATTGTGGAATAGTGAATACTCCATTATTAGATTCCATTACTTTTGTTGATACACCTGGTATATTATCTGGTGAAAAACAAAGAGCTCAACGTGATTATAATTTTAATGACACGTTAAATTGGTTTGCTGAGCGGTCTGATATGATAGTATTGACTTTTGATGCTAACAAATTAGATATATCTGATGAACTGAAAGAAGCTATTGATGTATTGAAAGCACATGATAGTAAATTAAGAATTGTTTTAAATAAAGCTGATACAATTAAGTAAGTTTTTCACTATTTGTGTGAATTCAACTCTCCATTTTTGATTAAATATTAACAACTCAAATATTGATTATCCATTTATTTGTCTTTAGTAATATCTGAAAAATAAGTTCTTGAATTCTTAATTTATTAAATTTGATAAAGTATAATTTAAATCTAAAGAAATATTTTATTTTTTAAAATATTATTTTTTAGTTAAATTATTTGTTTTATTATAGGTATCTAAATAAAAATAAAAAACATTCTTAGTACACATGTTTAATTGTAAATATATGCAGAAATTTGTAAGGGGTACTGTAAATGTTGTCCATAGTTTGGTGCAATAACCAAAAATCCCCAGAGAAAATATGTTCTTAAGATTAAGTAATATTTATAAATGTATATATCTATAGTTAGCTCTTCATATAGAGAATTCAAATTTATTTTTACAATATTTTCATGCATTTATTAAAATTTGATTATTTGATTTTTGTGTCATTTGAACAATTCAAAAAAAATTAAGATACTTGATTCTTGTTCTAAACTCTTCAGTTATCAACTATATACAGTAAAAAAACACAGGCTTATTTTTCAGTGTATACTATTTTCTAATTTGTACTCATATATATTTTATTTATAATTTATTTAAAACAAATAATTATTTTAGAATGTTTAATTATTCGTTATTTAAAGGTCGAAAAACACTGACTTATTTGGTACAATTAAAATGTACATTTGTTTTTTTTATATATTTGTATGACCTTATTTTATTTAAATTAAAAAATTATATTTAGAATAATTTTATTTTTTCAGTGGAAGAGCATTGCTTAGAGTTCATGGTGCACTAATGTGGGCTCTCGGAAAAACAATTGTTAGTCCAGAAGTTCCTAGAGTATATATAGGATCATTTTGGGACCAACCATATTCAATAATAAATGATGTAAATCAAGCGTAAGTTAATTTAAAATGTATTAGTTGATACATTTTAAGCTATAAAAATAAAATCCAGCATATTATTTTATTATCTTATACTATATTTTGTAGGTATCCATAGTATTTTTTTAAGTTAATAGTAATAAATTAATAGAAATAAGTAATAAATATTAACTCATAAAGGACAATTGTTTTAATGTGAATTAATTAATGTATTTAAATTTAAAACAATTTTGTTTAACAAGCTAAGGATTCACTATAATGGAATAATTATGGTGAATTTTATTTTAAAATAAAAATAGTATTATAGATAATATGATATTTAAACATTTACACTTAATATGATACATATTATTGATACTTTTGAGGATAAAATATTTTGAAATTCGTGCTTAGATTTATTTTTTATATAATAATATTAAAAAATAAAATATATTATAAGATTAAAAAGATAAAAAAAAATATTAGATAATTGTGTTTTTATAATTGTATTGAATATTATTACAGTATGTTTAATGAAGAAGAAAATGATTTATTTCAAGACATAAAATCTCTCCCATATGAATCAGTTATGTCTAAATTGAATCATATTGGAAAAAGAGCAAAAACAGCTATTGTAAGAAATTATTATTAATTATTTCATGAACTGAAAAAAATAAAATAAAAAATATTTATAATTATAAAATATTAATTAAAAAAATGTATAGGTGCATGCATATATAATTAGTGAACTCCGTTCACGACTTCCGCTTATATCGATGTTTATGAATAAAAGTAAATATCAAAATGAATTGATAAATAATTTGGAAGACTTATTTAATGATATCCAAGTAATGAACAAAAATCTTAGTTCTGGTGATTTTCCAGATGTAAACAAAATGAAGGTTGGAAAAGATTATACTTATAACTTTGAAAATTTAATTTAAAATTATTTTTTATATTTATAGGCAGCTTTAAAAGGAAAGAACTTTTCTTTATTTAATTGTCTAGATAAAAAATTAATAGAACGTGCCACAAATTTAATGGATGGACTTAATATGGAAATGACAATTAATGAAGTAGATGTTCAAAGTATGCTTTTATATTATAATTTTATATTAAAATTATAATTATAAACTATTTAGTATTCTAAATGAATTCTTTTTTTTTTTTTTTTTACTTGAAAAACAATATTTTTGGTTGAATGTTATGTTAATCTCCTTTTAAATATTATAAAATCATAAAGACATTTAATTTATATCAACATTGATTATTTTAATACAATTTTATAAATATGAAATACTCTTAAAACAATAAAAAAAAATTTGAGCTAACAATTAATTTTGCTTCAAAAATGTTCTTCTTATTTAGTAACCAAAACTTTTTTTAAAAATGTATGTTTAATAGGTAATACAATTGCAAACAAAAATGATACTTCATGTCCTTTTAATGCTAAAATGAAAAGTATTGACGAAGGAAAATTTGAAGAAGGATGGATTGTTGATTATTATCGAAAACCTTATGACAAGATTTTTGATAGTCTTCAAAAGATCAATGGGAAAGTACTTCGTAGTGGTAAGGAATTAATTATTAGAGTTTAATATTTCTTTTGTTAAATATTAAATTCCTTTTAATTTTTCTGTTGTAGTATTTAATTAGGTCTATAAAATTTTTTTAGTTTATTATTATTATATGGTTTTTTAGCGGCTAAAGAAGAATTTCTCAAGACTAAGTTTCCGAATTCTGTATTATCCAAAATATGGAAGTTAGCCGACATTGATAATGATGGTCTTTTGGATTCTGATGAATTTGCTTTAGCTATGTATTTAGTCAAGATCAAACTCGAAGGCTGTGAATTACCTGCCACTTTACCAAAACATTTGATACCCCCATCAAAACATAAAAAAATTGATCTTCACAACAATTCCTAAAGAAGAACAAGTTTAAATAGGTGTATATGTTCTGTAAACAAATTCAAGATTATGATAATTTTTTGTTTGAAAAACAAATATTTGATAGTATTAATAACTAAAGATCACTTTAAATTATAGATCTGCCAGAACATTTAGTGATATTTTGATTCTTTAAAAGTATGGTTTTAAATTAAAACATTTTATGCCGAGTTCTATTATTTACAAAATACTTAACCAAATTTATATGGTGCCATAATACTGTTTTATTTAAATATTAATTATGCTATGTATAATAAACTAGGTAGATATTAATATTTTACTACTGGATGATTGTGAATTTTAATAATATTAATTTTTTTTTAAAAATAAATTATTTATTATCTAATTATTCAAATGAAATTTTTTATTATTAATTTTTTTCTTTTTATGAAAATATATCTTACTGTCCTAGAAACTGAAGAAATTCATTGTGTATTGACCATTGTTATAAAAACATCATCAAAAATGCAATATTAAGCACATTCCTTTGACTTGATTTGTGAATGAATTACATAAGTTGCTTTGTTTTTACCTCAGTCAAAGAATTGACTTCATTGATTTCATTGAAAAATGAATGTCAAAACATTGCATTGAAATTATACCTCAATTAAATGTATTAATGAATAATGATTAATAATATTAATATATTATATATATATATATATAATTTTTTATTATTATTTTAATAATTAAGTGATTAAATTTATATTTTTTATATTATCTACTTATAATAGTATAAATATTAGAATTGCTTCAGTTTTTATAGGTCTATTAAAAATATTTAAGTTTGAGAATTATAGATATAAATATCATCTTTGATTTAGCCAAATAGCTATACATACTTAAAAAGGTAATAGACTAATAAGTATAGTAGATTAATTTAAAATTAATAAAAAAATATTATCTACTGGCATGGACTAAAATATCTCGGTGTGTGTTAACCAGGTATGTCGGAATGTTAATGAGCTTAAGAGTTGTATAAATTGTATTTATATTACAAGTGGTACTTATAAGATTTATTATATTTAAATGTTGATGTACCTGTATTAATAATAGTATAATAATTCAATTTAAAGAAAGTTATTTCTCTCTATAAATTTTTAATAAAATCATATAAAATGTATAAGAGATATATTAAAAACATTAATCTATTATAAAATAATTATTCACTATGTATTCTACTAATATACATTACTATACATTACTTTATCAATGACTATCTATGAATACTTGAGATAATATTTAAATCTTATAATTTAAATGTATAATTATTTAGTTTATAGCAATAATAATTTGGAAATACTTGTAGCGATTGCTTAATATTTAATATTGATCTTTAACTGCAGTTAATATACAATATATTTAAGTAAATAGAATCAGAGTATGTATTTACATATACTCTGTTCTTAAGGTTACTCGAAATGTAGAATATTATTTATAAACCCAAAATAATAATAATTTTTAATTTAATATTTATATCATTATATACTACTAATCCACGGATAATCATTTAATAACTTGTCCGAATGTTAATACTATATGTCATCCATATACGCTTATGTTCATTTTATGTACAATCATGATGTATTCTAATAAAATTAGTTTAGGCAATACATATTTTGTAAAACTATGTAATGTTTATTAAAATATGGATATAATGATATATAAAAAGAAATATTGAAAATGAAAATAAAATAAGAGTAATAAATTTAACTATAATCTACAAGACATTTTAAAATATTTCTGAAAAACAATAAATAGTATATATTAATTGATGTTTTAAACCCAATAAAATTAGATTAATAAGTTGGCCAATAGTAACTATTTAAATGAAACATATTTAATGAATTATTTTGAATTTTGAGTGCATTACATTTTTTACTAATAAGTTTTACTAATAGTAGTCCTACAATTATATATACCTGAATACCTCCCCTAATAAATTATTTTTACGTGTTTATTTAATGAAAATATAGAAAATAATTTCAGTAAGGAGATACACTCTTCAATGACTTGCAGCTTTGAGGGTGAGAAAACTAGTTGTAAATTTCACTAGTGAGCTCATATTTTGATTAGTCAACATTACTTTTTATAACATAGCGTATCTGAGCAATTAAATGATAGTAAAAATATATACAACAATTCTGTGTAAAATAAATATAATCTAGATAAGTGTAATAAACTTTAAATTTCATACCAATATTTCACAAAAGAATTTAAACATTTATAAATTACATAAATTATATAATTAGAATACTTATCATGTATTGTTGAGTTCAATTTAATGTTTAGGACGTTCATGAATACACTTAACAGTAATTTCAAATAATCAAAAACAATTGAAAACTTGCAAGACTATTCAACATTAGAATGATGTGACAATAGCTTAACTGTTATGCTATTAGCTGACATATTAATTATATAAGACTAATATGCAGAATTCCATAATATTCCTAACTGTACATAATTACCATTAATGACTATATCACTGTTAACTGATGATGATGGTACCTCTACTGGTCAATTTAATTAGTTTTAAACAATTTATTTATACAAGTTTGTTCAAAAAAAATAATTTATTTTTATGGGATTTATTTCATTACATCAAATTAATTTATTCTTATTGAAATCATCAATAGGTATACAAGGCATACATTCACGACCGATCAATAGAAATTTTGTTTATTATAAAAAACAGATAAATTTTGGGGATTTTAACATTTTTGATTTTCATACATACTTCATTTTATAAATTATAATTATAATAACCATGAGTTCAATAATATTATGTCTATATAACATTAAAAAAAATACAATTCATTATCTGTATTATCGTTCGAGTGACCCATAAATCTAAGGTTGAACAATATTGCTTACTATCACTGAACAATAATAAAACGATTCGTCATGATAATTATTTCAACATTTAATTATTAAGAGCGGGTGTGGTTGTACATTGAAATATTGTTATCACCAGGTATTAAGATTATGTGCATTTGCATATTTGTTTGTACATTCACCTATCTCAAAAAAGAGCAATGCAACTCATTTATTATTAACAATTCAAGGTTTTATGAGAAATTCCACTATCTCGCCACTAGTGAGTAACCTAATATCAAAATGGTAAAACTTAAGACTAATTACAAAAGAGCTTATTATATAGGTTAAAAATGAGTAATAAATGATTAGTTATGATGTCCAAGATAGTCTTTTATAGTTTGTACACCAAAAATAGGAATTAATAGTTTATAATTATTCCAAAAATATAAAATATGCTATTTAAAAATATATATATAACAATCAAGAAAATTATGAGACAGGTTAATTTCAATTCAGTAGAATCTATTTACAAATAGTTCTTAAGTATTATCATGACCTTTAATGAATGTCAGCTGTACAACAATTAAAATTATCAGTAGACATAAATATATATTTACAATATTTCAAACTTGAAAGTTGAAAAATAAATAGTTTGAACTTATATAAAATATTAAGAAAAAAAATGTGTGTTAATTAAAAGATAGAAAAATTGATTACTTATTGAATATGGTGGAAATGTTTGAATTTTATGTTATAGATAATAAAGAATATTAGAAAGGAAAAAGGATTAAAAGGATACAATTCAAACAACGAATACATATTTTTATTTTAGCGTATAAGGTTTATTTATTGTAAAGTCTAATGACCGCATAATTTTTGTAAATTAAATCCATGATATAATTAAATTTAAAAATTACACAATTTTATTTATTTTTAGAGTATATTAGTAGTGTAATAATCCTGCCAAAAATTGAAACATCAATTATAATCTAATGTTAATTCAACCTTCTTCAAATGCACAGTAATATATATCTGTCCACAAAAAGTTTAAGGAAGGAAAAACGTGTGCACACCCTATTGAAAATATAAATTCTATGGACTTATTTTGTATTAAAAAAAAAGTACAAAATATAAATAAATAAAAAAAATTACACAAAAAAAAAAAAAATTGAGATATACATCAAGTTGTAGGCATTCTATTATGTACATACAATACATACACATCATTATATGTTAGACCCTGATAGACATTAAGTCCAAGTATTTATACACTTTAGCCAAAGGATCCAATTTTTAAATTTTTTTTTTTTTTTATTTAACTTTTTATTTATATATTATTGTACATAAGCAAAACGAAATCAACAATACTGTTCACACAAAACAGTATGGCATACGATGACTGTGTAAATGGCTCAGCAATATGTTTAAGCTGACGTCTTGACCGGTTTCCTTTGAGGGAAATCTAATGAAATTCAACAATCATATTTATATTATTGACCACTAACATAATAAAAAATATTTAAATATTTAAAACAATGTTTGTTAAAAAATATTAAATTCAAATATATCTTCTATTAATTTAAAGAAATCACCAAAAGGCTCAAGTTTTCCCACTGCCAAATAAAAATTAACTAGTTATGAACTTTTTTTTTTATGAAAACACTTGATAATATAATCAATATTCATTTAATACACTAAAATTAATAAATTGAATAAAACTGTTAAGTATAAAAGTAAGAACTGCGTTTAAATATTATAAAACTATTTTAGTAAATTAATATATTTTCAATAGCTTGAATTATTGTTTATAAATAATTTAAAATCACAAGTAAATTATAATAATAAATTCATACCATTAAATATAAGATCATAGGAGAAAATCCCAAACACGTTTAATTAAATTGTATACTATACAACAGATTTTAAATGTGTTCCTATACATTTGCTATTTCAAGGAAAAGATTTTTTTATGAATTTTTTATACCATATAAAAATAACCCACTCCCTGTTAAGATATTATTTCATATATATTTATAATACAGTACCTAAATAAAGAACTCCTTATAATTAATAATATAATAAATTCTATATTAAATTAAATAAATACAGGGGAGGATAATAATTATGAAAAAAAATTATCAATTATATAAACAACAAAATAAATGTCAAAATAAAATTATTAATTTAAAAATTATAATATTTTTATTTTACATTATATTAAATTAATGTGCAATGCTATGATTATGGTTTACCTTTGCCTCCACGATTTCCATGAACACCACGTGGTGCAGGTGGTTCATAACCTCCATACTGGTAATCTAAAATTGTATAAAACATTAATTTTTAATTCTTTAAAAATCACTAAAAATATTAACACTAACCGGTACCGGCACCAGCACCATAACTTGGATAACCATAACTGTAACTATAGTCCGGACTATATCCAGTATATTGATTGTAATAATCATATCCTATATTAACCATTATTATACAAATTAAAATTCATTTTGGGGTGTTTATAACCTGTTGTATACTAAAACCAAATAAAATTTACCTCCATAACCGTAACCAGGAGCACCAGGAGCATATCCAGATTGTGATAGAAAACCTATTAAAATGTATTAAATTTTAAAAATAAATATTGTACATAAAAAGTCAATGCCAAATAATCCTTACCGCCTCTACCACCTCGCCCCCTAACATTCCCTCGCATTCCTCTCATTGGACCTGTAGCACCTGGCATTATTCCATAAGGTTCAACTTTTAATGCTGCTTTTTTCACATCAACCTTTATATATAATATAAAAATATTAAAATTTATGCACTATATCAATTAATAAAAATAAATTACTTGTTTGCCATTGATGACATGTTTAGGTGTTTTTAATATTTCAGTTACTGCCTGCATGCAATCAAATGTAACAAAACAAAAACCTTTTCGTTGGTTTTTAACTTTATCATATGGCATCTCAGCATTCACCAAAGGCGCATAACGTTTGAAATAATCTTTGATATCATCATCAGTTAAATCAGGAGACAATCCTCCAACAAATAATTTAACATGCCGTGCTTTGGCTTTCTTAGGATCAATTTTCTTGTCATTGATTACATGGTTAGTGCACGCTAAGGCCTTTAATGAAATTTAAACAGAAATTGTTATTAAATGTATACACAAATATAAATTCTATAACTATAACAATATTTATCCAATAAGATGAAAACTAATACTACTAGTATTACATATCAAAAGAAATTAATTCAAAGAAAATTTGGTTGTATTATATGTGATTAATTTTTGTATATTTAATTTAATTGTCTAGATGACTTATCAATTTTATAACTGGTTAAACAAATATTTATGAATAATAACGTATATTAAATCTAAACATATCTTAAATTGTTATTTATCATAAATAAATAGAAAATAGTATAATAATTAACTACAGTTAAATATTAAAAATAAAAAACCTATTCATTAAGACTCATGTAATAAATAAAAAATAATCATTGTTTTTTTTTAAAAAAAAATGCATAAACAATTAAATAAATGATAAAATTGTTACTCCTTAATATTATTTATGCAAGGATAAAATAACTAAAGAAAATTATTTTTTAAACAAATTAAGTACATACATTTTCTAGACCTTCCATCGTCTTGTATACAATGAAAGCGAACCCTCTCGCTCGACCAGTGGCAGCATCTACTTTGACATTAATATTTTCAATTTCACCAAATTGACCAAAGTGTTCGCTTAAATCTTCTAAAATAGACAAGCAAAATGCATGATAGCTATAAGACTAATAACAAGTGATTCACTACTTACTTTCTGTTGTTTCTCCTTTGAGTCCGCCAACAAATATTTTTCTGTAACATTACAGCAAATTAAAAAAAACGAAAAATATAAGATATCCTAAAATTAATTTATAATAAAAGAATAAATTATATATCATTAACGTAAATCCAATAAATATAACTATGATGGCTATACCCATAAAAACAAATAAGACACATTATATTTTTATGAAATCAGTGCACCCAAATCCTAACCTAATATAATTTGATAGGCACTGAGAACGGAAAACTAATGGGAGGAAATTATTATGGATTACGAGTAGATGAATCTTAAATTAACTGAAGATGGTAAAAAATGAAATACTGCTTTTCATTAATATACGAAATATCGTTCCGATAACTGATTACGGTAGGCCATAGCCCGCAGTCTGCATGTGTCGTAACGTAATAGACACGGCACGATCGACATTTTACTAAAATGGTATTTGACAGACCTGTCATCGTCTCGGACGCATTCAAATTGATTGGAATCATTATTTGTGTTGGCACTTTCTGCGGTACCGTTTAGGTGTTGTTGCTGTTGAGCCTCAGCGTTTTCAAATTGCTGCGAGCCGTTTTGCTGCTGGTTGTCGGCCATCCTAATCGGTGATACGTCGACTTACAAAAATATTAACACTAACGCCTAAATAGTTGAAAAACGGGAAAACGATACTATATAACAATATAAAACAATATTTAAGTAAAAATGTACGTGTCTAAAAATAGGAACGAGAGCGAATTTAGAGGATGAGAAGACGCTACAGACATGGGTCGAGATAGCGTCTCGTAAACAATAAAAATGGCCGCTGGAATATCCGCAGCAGCAGCGGCGCTCACCGGCGAACCGCTATACCGGTTAGTTGTCAATACTTAGCTACCGTGGTACTTACGATTACGTTCTCTTTGACCAATTCAAATGGCGGCAAATATTGCCATAAAATATCCGTAGACAATATAAATATTTTATATTTATTGTACACCCATACTTCAGAAATATACTTTATTAATTTTAATTTTTATGAATTCGAAGTTAATAAAATTAAGGCCTTCAATATGGTTCATATAAAAATAAAGGAAAATATTTTCCAAGCATTAAATTAATTAATTTAACAAGAAATGAACAGTTAAGAACAAACTACATGAAAATATAATTTTAAAAGTTTACTACGGATTTTTAAGGTCAAAAAGGATTAAAAAAAAAGGAAAAAAAATCCATTATTATTGTTCACCAATATAACATAGTATCAAAAGACATTAATTATAATGAAGTAAATATGTCTTTTATCTCTAGGTATACAAATGAAATACAATTCATCTAATTGAATAATTACCATAACATCAATTGCATTTGTTGAGAAACTTTCAGGAGATTCTTATCCTATACTCGTAAGTTTAATTCAAATGACACCAATGGATGCCTTCAGCATAACCATATTTAAAATCATGTCCTCTGATTGGGGTAATTGTTAGAAATTATAATAAAAAGACAAATATAATTTATAATAATTTTTTATTCATATAAAAACTTCTTAATTAATGGGCATACTGCATAAAGTCTGAAAACTATGAAAAGGTTAATTACTATTTACCATAACTATATAAAGATGTATAATACACATTTATTTTAAGATACATTATAATAAATGAAAATTGGTAATAAATCAATGAAATTATTCTTTTTAAATTAATAAAAAAATTGAATATACCGTAACTGGCCAATTAATAATTAATTTAACTCATAAACAGAATCAATAATTAAACCTAGCACAAACATCATAATTTACAATTTATTGAGGGAAATATTACAAATACAGGTTTTTTTTTTTAAAAAAGAAAGGTAATCGATAGAATCAAATATGATGCTAAATATCAGTTATATATTAAATCTAAACCAAATATTGATAATGAATATATTTTATAATTTTGTTTAAGTCGTTACAGTCAATAAATATAAGGTATCTGGTTTATATTTCAATGATATTTATCATATAAAATATACACTTTATGTTTACTAGGGGAAAAAATTAATATGATAAACTATTCTTAGTAAAATGTTATTAATTGCATAAGCCCAAAAATATTATATATTGTATATATAATAAAAAAAATTCAAACATTTAATTCAATTGTCATATAAAAATCATATAAACCAAAACAAGACTATAATAATTTATGCAAAAGTGCAAGTCTTTAAAAATGTCTAATTACTTTTTATTTATTGGAAAATAAAAATACATTCTAACCTATGAAGTAAAAAAAGTAAAGTAAATTAATTCAAAATTTACTAAATAATGTTTGTGCTTAACTAAACGTTTTAAAATTTTTATTTGTACATTTTATTTTATATGTTATTAAACATAAACCACTAAATAGGGGAGTAGAAGGTATTCCGTTATTTTCACAAGTCATTATTGTCGTCAAGAAAAATGATTTGTTTATATAAAAAAAAAAAAAAGATATCATCATTTAAGGAGTGTATACACACACACATACACACATACAAACACACAAAATAGGGACAAATGGTAGTAATTATTTAATAAGGAGCGTGTCTTGCACCAGATCCTCGAGATGCTCCTCTTGTTTTTCCAGCACCATTAAACGCGGCTGCAAAATTAGAGAATAAAAATAATATGATGTTTTTGTGTGTCTATAAAGAAAAAATTACCTCGTCCTCTAGTAGCTGAAACTGGAGCTGGTGGTGCTTCATAACCATATCCATAATCTAGAAATAAATAAATTTAATATTCAATAAAAAATATTTTTAATGAGTTATGTAAATTTTACCATATCCAGCATAGCCATAGCTACCATAATAATCAGCTTCATAACCAGGGTAAGCTGCTCCTCCATAATAATCATATCCTTGAGGTGGGTATGCTGCAAACAATAACATTTAATAATGTGAATTAATACATTTAGTTACTAATAAAAATGTATAATATAAGTAGGGAACATAATATAATGTATGAATATATATATATTTTGAAAATAGACTTAATATATAGAATATATCATAAAATATAATAGTATAGAAAATTAAAATGCACTCATTAACATTTTAAATTCACGAAGGATAACACCATTCTTTATTAATTCAATAATAACCATAAAAGAGGAACAATAATTAATATAATATCATTAGGATTGAATATGCCTTTAAAAATATACAAAATACAACATGAAGTAATACCATAACAACTCATATAATAATAAATATAATTTCAAATAGTTCTGAATAAAATTTTCTTCATAATATTCAGTACCAGGATTGACTTAACAATTACTCAACATTAGTAAATTTAAATAAAAAGTTTAAATATAAAACATAGGGTTATTTCAGAATATTTTACTCTTCAATTAATTTCAGAAGCAGAACTGACATGATAATATCTAATCATCAATATTAATCTTTTGAAATAAATGTTATTTCAAAAACAATATCCTTTTTAATGAAAATCAAATTAGATAAGAACAATTAAAATTCCATCTTTATCTTATTTTTACTCACTTTTAAATTATCAACTCAAAATATTGTACTCCTCAATCAAATTCAGTAGCAGAACTAACATAATTACTCATCATTCTAAAAATACTAAATTTATCAGAATAGTTAAATTAAAGAAATATTTCAGAATATTTTCTCTTCAATTAGATTCAGTAGCAGAACTGACTTTATTAATACTCATCACAAATACAAAAATTTAAGTTTAAATGTTAGAAAATCTATATCCTGTTGACAGTTATTTAAACTGTCTACATCTTACTAAGATATATTTAAATATTAACTCTTATGGCATCTTTTTGTGCCATTTAAAAATATTATTTCAGAATATTTTACTCATCAATACAATTCAGTAGCAGAACTGACATAATAATTACTCATCACAATAATAATACAAATAAAATAAATACATAAATCTACAATTGAAAATAATCATTTTACGAATAGTGCTCTTCAATAATTCTCAATATTAATAGGAATTATCAATAATATGCTTATTAAAATTGTATTATTTCCTATACAAAAAATGTTTTCAGAATATTTTACTCATCAGTACAATTCAGTAGCAGAACTGACTAAATTAATACTCATCATCGGTATTATAATCTTAAATACAAATTGCATTCATACAAAATTAAACAACATAGAACATATTACTCTTTCAACAAATAAAGAAATACATATGGATATTGAAAACAAGATAGTCACATCTAACATAATTCAAATAAATGTATGAAATTTCTTCTATAAAATAAGAGAATAATAACAAAATATTTATTCATTTAGTGTAGATATATGAATTTAACATTATTTAACAGGTTATAATTGAAAAATTATGTTTTCACTAAACAAATATATTCATAATAAAAATATTTTTATATAATTATATAAAACAATATTGTTTTTATTTTATACCAACTCTTAATTTATAAAAAATTATAAAACATAAGATTAAAAATTGAAATACGATACATGCAACTTTATAGCATCACACATTAGCACTAAATAACCTAATGATAACTAAGCTTATGATCAATATTCATTAAATAACCTATTAAACAATGAATAATATTTAAAGTTTCAAATAAAAAAATGTATATAACCAATTAATTAAACTGATACTAAAAATATGTATATAATAATATTTATAATGTTATCATTAGTACTGAGGGATGTATTTTGGTAAAGATAAGCAAAAGAAAAAAATTTTATCTTACCTCCATATGTCCCGTATGGTGCAGCATACGGCCCATATGCTGAAACAAAAAAGTTGAAAAAATAATTTAATTTCAGAGAATAAAAGGTAATTTATTTATTTGATTTAAAAAGTTTAATCCCAATAAAAGTATATTATATTTAAAAAAATAAAAATACTAAATTAAGAAAGAAAAAAATTGATTTAAACCTTTTGTTTCAGCATAGCTAGTCATAGCATACATAAACTGTTTTCAGTTTTTAAATAACCATGTTATAACTTAATATGATACATAGTAGTTACTTGTATAAAGGTGTTGAAATTCTCACTTAACACTTACCAAGCTAAATCATAAATACAAATAAAAATCCAGTGAAGTCGCATCTAATAAGATTTCCGAAATCTTAAAAATGATTGCATTTAATATTATAAGTAAAAAAAAGTATTGCGACACAGACTAATTTTATTGAGGAAAATAAAATAAATTAGAATCAAATTGATTCCCAGAATGAAAAATAAAAGTATTCAAATAGCATTTTGTTTTAAATTTTAAAATTTTTTTTTGACATATATATACAAAATAAGAAGGAATAAAAATAATACATGCCACTAAAAAAAATTTATCTAACAGCTGAATGTCATTATCTGATAATTAATCCTGTAAGAGCAAAATCACTTACCTTTACATTTTTGAGTAAGAAATTCATCTGAAAATTGTTTTTTTTTTTTGTAAATAATCAACTTTGTCTGGTACGCAATACACAAAAAGATAAATTTTAGATCATAATAGTTCTTTCTTAGTTTTTTTAAATGTAAGACTTAGTAATTCACAAGCAAAGGTTATTATAAGACATAGTTTAAATCAATAATTTACTTCACAATATAATATTGATCAATAGCTAAGATATCAAAGAACTAAAAAACATTTATTGGCATTATACAGTTTTTAACTACTATGTATTTTTAAAGCTACTTAAAACCAACACAATAAAAAATTATAACAAAAGAGGGGGAAATAAGAATGACTTGCGAACAAAAATTTATAGTCAATAATATATATTAAATGTTAAATTGAGAAATAAAACATTTCTCCGTGCAGATATAATTTAATATTTAAATAATTGTGAACTTAAAACATTTTATTAAAATCTATTTATAAAAGTGATTGAAAATAAATTTTTCTTGATTATAAGAATTCATCAAATAAAACAACTTTCTTGCTCTATACTTAGAAAATCCAAACATATTAACTAAATTTAGGTATAGTAATTTAATTTACCTCCACGAGCTGCTCCTCTACCTCTCATTGCTTTTGGATTAGCATATGGGTTAGCAGGCTTAGGTGCAGCTTTTTTCACATCAACCTATAATGATGAATAAATAAGTACTACTATAATATAAATAAATAAATAACATACCTCTTTGCCTTTAATTGTTTGTTTTGCAGTTTTGAACAAATCTTGCACTTTATCACTGGACTCATAAGTAATAAAACAATAACCCTTACGTTGATTTTTCATTTTATCAAATGGAACTTCTAAATTAACAATTACTCCCCATTTTCCAAAAAATTCTTTAATTTCATCATTAGTAACATCTGATGGTAATCCACCAACAAATACTTTTTCTTGTTTTGCTTTGGCTTTTTTAGGATCAATTTTCTTGCCATTTATAACATGATCACCGGCAGCAAATGCCTACAAACATAAGAAGTTTAGCAAAAATAATAAACATATATTAAGTTGATTCTTACATTATTCAATCCGTCAACAGATTTGAATATGATAAAAGCAAAACCTCTAGAACGTCCAGTAGCCGGATCGGTCTTCAAGCTTATATTTGTAATTTCTCCATATTGAACAAAATGTTCTTTTAGTTCCTCTAAAAAAAAAAAAAAAAAATGTAGACATTAATATTAATATACAATATAATGAGAAATTGAAAATTAATATAAATATATACATTTCAAGTAAAAAAAAATTTTTTTTTTTTTTTAATACTTGAGATTTTTAAAGAAATATACTATAGAATATTATAAAATATAACTCACTTTCTGTAGTTTCCCAACTCAAACCTCCAACAAATAACTTCCTAAAATAAAATAAATTCAATTAGACTTCATAAAATTTTAAAGTTTTTAAAATAAAACAAATTTGGATGAAATTAAGATAAGGAATAGTAGACAAAATATTAAAAAGATTGTGTTGTTCATAAAAATAGATTAAAACCCATACAAGATTACACATTTATTTTCCCCGATATAAGATATTATATAGCATAGTTAATTTTTATTAGCAATAATATTATAATAATAATAATAATAGTAATAATAATAATAATAATATAATTAAAAAAAAAAAAAACAATTAATAATTTATGTAAAAGTTATAGTATTATAGTATTTTAATTTGCAGATCAAAAATAAAACATTGATCTTAACCTTAAATTATTAAATTCAATTTATATCCCATAAAATATCTTTTATTAACAAAATACATAAAATTAATTATATAAACAACCTACAGTAGCAGCCTAGTAATAAAAATATTTAAAGCAATCATAAGTATATTAAAAAAAAAAAAAACTTTATACTTAGGAATATTAGAGGACAGGAATAATAGAAAAGGATTTATTTTTAACACTACATAAACTTTCAAATATATTTCAATTTACAATCATGAATTGTATTTGAAAGTTCTACAAAATTATTTTATTTCTCATAGCTGTATTTTTGTGGGAATTAAATAATAACAATTAAAATAAAATTAATAATTTACTTTATAAATATTTTAGATTTATAAAAAGAACAATATATGTATATAAAATTTACATTAAGCCTGATAACAAAAAATCACAGCTAATCGAAATTCTTAAAACTAATAGTAAAAAATCCAAATTCAAACACCTATATATTAAAAACAAATAAAAATAATACATAAGTTAATAATTTACTAGAAAATGACTTAAATAAACATGAAAATAAAAACTTTAATAAATAAATAAAAATTTAAACTATTATTGAAATTGTAATATATTATATTGTAACATTTCTATCGGTTTTCATTGCATAACCTTTTATTTGCTAAAATTTCAAAACAAATTCTACTCATTATTTTGGATTTTTTACTTAATATTTTATAGTTTAATCCCACAACCATACAAAACTTGTCAAGGAGACAAGTCAGGTTTATAATAAAAAAAAAAGTTATTAGGAGAATGAGGAAGATTTACCTACAAAAATAAAAATAAAATAATAAAAAAAATAAAAAGAATAAAGAAACGATATGTATGTATGTATGTATATTTTACTTAACCATAGTCAGAGTACAAAAATTTATCAGAATTACATTAAAACAAAATTAAATTTGTAAATATTTATTTATCTTTATACTACACAAGTAGGCCTTAAATTGTCGTTCAAAACAGAATCTTAGGCCAACGAATTCTGCAATGAATCATGTGTCTATTATTTAGTGATGAGAACTGTAACAAAATAAATTGCATAAATGTTTTTTTCTTGAACTTTTGTTTACTCTAAAACAGACAGTTTATACTGAAACTCGATGCATAGTAATTTTATTTATTCATAATTTAATTTATTTATACAGTTCATTCTCCATTTATTTATTGTTTAATACTTAATGATTCCTACCATTTGGTAGGCGATGATTCAGCCTCAGTCGCCGCACTATTAAATCAGCCATTGACAAATGTATACCTGTTGTACAATGTGTCCATTATATAAACATCCGTTCTTCAATGAATGACATGAACGTCACCTGCGCATATTTATACACCACGTTGAAAGGTAATCGATACATAGGCCTATACGGTCCTGAAGAGACGCAGATTACCATGGAAAGTAATTTACATGAACTTTTCTGCTCGTACAAATTGTGTAATAAACGTTAAAATATTTTGTTTGCATCCAAAGTTAAAGATCTTGAAGCCCATTGAGAAGAATTTGTAACCCTTGAGAAGTAGGCAAGCCAATTTGTAGATCTTCATTAAGTTAACATAATTATCAATAAGTAATAACATTATACTTTAACATTATTTATAATAAAAAAATCAAACAAAAAATTTACAAAATTATCTAAGACTTAAGTGACATGATAAATAAATAATGTTTCCTAACCAATTTATATTTTTGGTAAGTTACAAATGAAGTTAAAACTTAAAACTGTTATAAACCAATATTAAAGGCTATGCTCTAATTAAAAATGAATACCAAACAATAATTTTTCAATAGTAGCGTCTCTTTATGACCAATACAGATATACTTACTCATTAATTATCTGTAGTAAAAATATCTAATAATTTCATTACCACAGGTTTATATATTAACTAAAAAACATTCAATGCAGGTATATGAGTGGATAATACTAATATAGATTATAATAATTATAGTTGGAAATGAAAATAATGGTATGGAATATGATAAAGATAATTGAATGTATAGTAAAACAAGAAATATAGAAAATTCTAGCCTGAACTATATGTTAAGTAAAAATATATATTATGAATTCATTTCTACTATGAAACCAATAAGAAATTGTTATGCAAGTAATTTTTTTAATAATGATAGTTTATCTTTAATAAGATTAAGATGAAATATAATTTATAATTATTAATTTTTTCAATAAGAGTACAATAATCACATGAAATGAATTCTAAAACATAAATTAGAAGTAATCATAGCTTTTATGAACTAATAAAAGGCTGAGTTAATGATTTAAATTAAATAAAGAATATTATGCAATAAGATACAATTTAATATTTTTAACCATCTAACCATTTTTTATCTAACATATAAATGTTATACATAAATTGTAAAAATTAAAAAAAAAACTTAATACCATTTTAACTAGGGTTATTACTAGAAAAAATAATTTCAGATCAATTTTAAGTTTAACAAACTCTGGTATTAATTTTGTATTTTTCATAAAACAAATGAAAGAAATTTACATAACTACTGAGCTCATGGAACCATTTGCAATAAAATTGATGGTGAATCAAAAAATATATAATATGTAAATTATTTAAGTTTTCATAAGTAAATATAGCTATGAAAAAAATACCTAAATTTTAACTTAACCACGTTATATCCAGTATATTTACAACACCTAAATAATGTTATAAAATTCAAATTAAACCTTGCAAGTGATCAGAAAGGGTACATAATTAGGATTACACTATAATTCATAGGTATATTATAGTAGTTGAACTATTTGGAATAGAGTTGAAAAATAAAACTCATTCTTAAATGTACATTTAGTATTTTGGTAAAACAAATAAGTAGACATAAATAATAATATAATTCATATAATGAAATTTTAATTCGTTAATTGGACAATGCACATTAGATACCATGAGAACACTAAGAATATTTAATAGTATTGGCGAACAAATAGCTAAATGAAGATAATTATATGAGTGATAAAAACAGGAGGTAGAAATAGGATAATGATCAGCATCATTGAAGTGACGACCAGGAAAGCAACTTAGAATAATATTTAACAGTACTTTGCACGCAGGTCTTAATATAACCGCAGGTATAAAACGAGACAGTTATTAGTAAAAATTGAAAGGTAGTATAACATGGAATATTGATTGCGGATTGCTAAGGTCGGGTTCACAATTTTAATGTTCATTAATGAATGAAAACTGCGAACGCGAATGCGAACTGATCGGTTCAAAACATTACCTGTCGTCTTCCTTGACCTGTTCCTCCGGACTGGTCTGCTCGACGCCATTGTTGTCATTGGTACCGTTGGTTTGTTCTTTTGGCTGTTCGTCCGACATCTTTGCAACAGTAATTAGTTGATTTCGGTAGGTGCAGTAATAACCGACGTGTTATAACGGGAATAAATGTGTAAAGCGGGAACGGTAGTGATAGAAAATTTGATGAAGACGATCGACCAGAGCAGGTTGTAGAAAGTTTCTTTAGCGTGCCGGCAGCGGAACGTTTAGTACGGGCAGAAAGGCTTGGGAAAATGGCTGCGGTCGTTGATCTTCCGGCGGAGAAGTGGTCAGGGGAACGCCAAACAGTTACAGTGTGACCACCATGCATGTAAACGTTCCATGGATTTTTTTTCAGCTCATGACTTGTACAATTATTAATTTATTCATATTTATTTTTTACCTCCATAAAACTTAAACCTCAGAAATCATAATAGAATATATCAATGTTAATATATAAATCGAATTACAAGGTTGTACACAGTGTATGTAATTAAATAACAAACAATATGTTAATACTAAGTTCTTCAATTTTTGATGTATCAATAAATACTTATTAATTTATCGCCCGTTAACACCACCGCCACAATTGCATATAATTTAAACCTTTTGATGCATGATCAGTTTTTTTCTTCACGACAAAACTTGTTAGTATTAAGAGCACACAATTCGCATCTATGTTAAATATGTTTTGACTTCTGCATATACCTATTTTATACTAACGATATAATTATAAAAAACAGAATTTATCTAGGAAATTACCTATCATTCAATTTTAAGACTAGTTTTAAATACATAAAAGACGTCCTATCTTGAAAGTATGTGAGAAAAAAATAGTAGCTATTTAAATTTATTTGGTTGTTGAACAATTGAATACCATTTTAAAGCACATTGTGATCAGTGATGTATTGGTAAATACAATGAATACATTTATGAGTATACGCACTTATAAAATACCTATGTATATTAATCCTAAATAATTGTAATCGCTTCGCTCGACATTTTTTTTTTTTCTAGCTACACTAGTATAAATTGAATTAACCTCTTAGACGTTTATAACTTCTAATAAAACTATAAAATACAACACCATACATTTGTCACACATTATAAATTACTTGATGCAAATTTATGAACCATGATCTGAATGTCCACACTCTTTATTATATTTAATAATATTTATGTTTCAAAATGTTATTTACTAAATTGAACTTAAAATTCATAAAACTATTTAAACTGTACATTGTAATATTCAACATGTAAATATTTCATTCTAATTTCCTAGTTCATAGCAATATTTCCAATGAACAATTATATAAGTATTATTTGGTTTACGAGTTATTTTATGAGCGTATATTCGTAAAATAATATTTTACATTAGGTATATGCTGAAAATTGAAAATTTGCTGCTTATATGTACTAATAAACCCCTGATTGTGTTTATATGTTATGTTTATCCCCAAACATTTATTGATTTCTATTTTAGTAGAAATGTTCTTTTAGACGATTGCAGGGGGACTGACATAATTTACCATAGATATTTAGGAATTGCTTAGAAACTAAAACAATTTTCAATAGATAGGCAGATACATAATAAAAATGTATTATATGCATCCATAAAAATATAAAGAAATTATTTGTAAACAAATTTAACAAGGCAAAAATAAATAACCTGCTGCCATCTGATTTTTTTTTTACGTAAGTAAATATGATTTTGGATAACTAGATAGTTGTAAATATTATAGAATTCAACATATTTACAGAAGAATAAACTAAGTTTTTTAAATAAAATTTGATTGATGCAGTGTAACATTTTTTCTTTAAAACTGTAGCTTATTGGTAAATTCTTTTTCGCAAATCAAAGGATCCAAAATACTGGTAACCAATTTTTTGATTATCTTCATTGTCTTTAACTTATTGAAATTGTTTATAAACATTAAAAGAACAGTTCAGATTTGATTTGATGTTTGTTATACATTTTATAATACCTACAACAAATATAAGATATCTAGAATAAATTTTGAAATACTAATAAAATAATTGATTTTCCAAGGATTAATATAAGTATAAATATTAAATTACTAACATGAACAATTTTTAATACTGGCGAGTCTATTATTTGTTGGATATCTTAATTAATTCATTAGTTTAATTTTTATCTAGGTCATTATTTGAGTACTAATTATATTTGATTATAGTTATATATAATATAGTTATATTATAGTTAGTTATATAAGATTATTTAAAAAAAAGGGTGGTCATATAATTTGATAAAATAATATATTTTTGATAATATAACTTATGTCTTAGAAATATTATTTAAAATAATTTCAGTATATCATACATTTGTTATTTTGATTCTTAATACTGTATTTTTATTTAATATATATATATATTTATATTTATACATATACATATTAAAATTTAAATTGTTTATATATATATATATATATATATATATATATTTAACAAATATTTAAATACTATTTATAAGATTTTTTTTGTCTTAAATTAAAAATGTACTTAATATCTAACAAAATAATACTATAATATAGTTAAATACAGTTATTTCTAATGAAAATTATTAATAAAGTAACAAATATTACACTACCGTCTAACATAGACTATTTAAGCTAGATAATAAATTACCTAATTAAGAAAACAGAAGACTGGTCTTTACTAAATAATTCGTCCATTGAATAATAATTATTTTTAATACAAAATTAGAAATAGTAATATAAAATTAACGTCATAATCATCTATTTGGCCATTTCCAATTTTCTGTTGTACGTTCATTAGGCTTAAGTAAATGTGGAATTTCTTTTAAACAACTTTTAGCCCATTCAGGTAGTAAATGTCTATCCTTTTGATCATAGACCATAACTACTCCTTGAGTAGTTTCACATTTTACTTTACCAGTTGTTGTGTCCAGCTTTACTTGTGATCCATCAGCATAAGTTATACAAATTTCACCAGATTTAATTAAAAATGAACTTTTAATTTTACAATTTTTTAATATATCAGATTCATCTTTTATAACAGGTCTTCTTCCTAATGTAACAGGAAATACTGTAACTCCACTATTAGCACTTGTATCTAGAGTTGATAATGTTTTTTCAACTAAACAACAATGCTCGAAGTATTTTTTAAATTGATTATAAATTATTTTATCTGCTTCATCTAAACAATCTGGTCGACTAAAAGTTTTTGCTTTCCCATTTACAATAATTTTTATGTCTCCATTTCCAATACTTGAAACCAAAGATCCATTATAAAAATGTGCTTCAAATGCTTTACCATCTTCCATAAGAAGACATTTGGCTTTATCACTATAAAAAACTACTTTAGCTGTCTTTGAAGCAATCAATTTTACAAATTGGGCTGCGTATGCATATTTTTTCCAATGATGTTGAGGAAGTGATTCATAACTGTATACTTCATCTGCTCCTTTTTCTGGTATAGGTGGAGGTTCTTCATGCAATGCTATTCCTCTTTCTTTATTTGGTTTATATATAACCATATGTTGACCATCTGATGAAATTCGAATAACTTCTACAACTCTCTCTTCTTTAGATTTAGATTTCATTTTAATAAACTCCACACAAACATCCCCATTGCTTAAAATACTCAAAACTTTATTCTTAGTCTTATGTCTATGTTTTTGTAAGCGAGTTGTAGTTAAACGATTAGCCATGCTATTAGTTGAACTTATTTCTGGATAAGTTTTGAATGACTGTAGAAATTGATCATCAAAAACTGTAAATTGTTTATTTCCAGAATACTGAGATGGAGTTGTATGATACAAGTTTTGAAAATTACTACTGTGTTTATGAAAACTACTAATAATGTTGGATGTACAACATTCTTGTTGTTTGATTTCTGTATTTAAATAATTATCTCGACCCCTTTGTAATAAATTTAAATTAGAACTAGGTTGATGAGTAACTTCAATACTAGGACTATGGGTAGAACGTATGTAGTGTAATCCGGTTGAACTGCATTTTTCTTTATTAAATGAAATAGTATTAAAACCACTGTCTTCTGTAAAGTGTGATTGATGAAACCATATAGATGGTCCATCACAAATAATTTTTTCTTGCATAAAATCGTGATTTAATACACTATGTAAATCTATTCGATCTCTTGGATTTTTTCTTAATAAACAATTTATTAAATCTTTTGCTTTATTTGATAAATAATTTGGCAAAGAAAAATCACTCATAACCACTTTTGTAAGAGTGCTTTTTATAGCATCAGTATCAAATGGAGGATGCCCCACAAGCAATGTGTATAATAAGCATCCCAATCCCCATAGATCTGTCTCTAAGCCATGTGAGCTTCGAGTTGCAACTTCTGGTGATATATAATTTGGGGTTCCACACATTGTCATGTGTTTTTCATCTCTAGAATTTAGCTGAGTTGCGAGACCAAAATCAGCGATTTTTATACGCATATCTTTTGTTAACAGTAAGTTTGTCAATGTCATATCTCGGTGTACAATATTATGTTTATGTAAATATAAAAGACCTTCAACCACTTGTCTTATAATATATCTGGCTTCAATTTCTGATAATTTGTTCCCACTGCGTTTTAAATATTGAAGTAACTCACCATTATGACAGAGTTCTAAGACTAAATAAACATGTCTACTATCTTCAAAAAAAGTATACAACTCTAGTATGGATGGATGTTTCAGTTGACTATGTATTTTTACTTCTTGGCGTACACGGTCAATCATATTCTGTTTTTTCATCGTCCAAATGTCAATCTCTTTGATTGCCACTTGACAACCAGTACGGAGACATTGAGCACGATAAACACATGCAAAACCACCTTTACCCAAAAGCTCCAACTTTTCATAGCCATCTATACCATCAGACAATGGCATTGTTTTGTAGGACAACATTGAAACTTTTCTAAAACAAATAATTGAATAATTCTATTTAATTTTGATTATTTCTTGTATTTTAATAAAAAGAAAAAAAAGGTTTAAATATCTTTATGCAATACAAAGTGTACATAATTTATAATTAGGAAAAGGATATAATAATTGTTATTCATTATTTGGGAATAATAGAGGATCACGAAAAAATGGTAAGGCCATAGCTTAAAAATTAAAATTAAATTACATTCAATAATTCATAATTAACACATTATTTGGAAATTATAATTTCATTTGATTTAAATAAAATATGATTTATATTTATAATTTATTATATTATAAAAACTATTCTGAATTGGAATCACTAAAAACATTATTTTGATTTAAATAATTTATAGAGATGAAAAGTTTCTAAAATTATTTTAATGGACATTTGAAAATAAGAACAGTTTTAATCTGTAATAATAAACTGATAATATTTAAAATAATAGATATATTGAACTTCACAAATATTAATATATTTGAAAAAATGAATAAAGATATCAATGTATTTTTATTAAATTATATTTTAAATTTATATATTAGTATAAATCTACTTATACTAAACCACAATCAATATTACTTACCTTTTTACTGGTTATATTATTCCAATGGTCTAACTACTACGTAACATACATTTAATTTGAAATTTAAATTACTAATTGTAACATTTTTAATAAATTCTTTACATGCTGATAACATGGTCATTATATTTTTTAAATTCCTAAATTATATGATTACGATTTTAACATTTGTTTACAAATTAAAATTACAATAGTGTATTTCACATTGTATAATAATGTGTTACTGTAAATTCAAATGATAACGGAATTGAGATTATCATATACCACACCACTAAACTGTATACAACAATAGTACCATGCTTGAGAGTAAATTTAAAATAATCATGGAAGAAAATCTATGATAATCTAAAGAAATTTATTTTTTGGCCAAATTTACTTATTATGCGTTGTTAAAGCTAGCCATACACGTTCCGGTTTGCCGGAGAGGTCGGACTGCACAGTTTAACCTGCACAGTTTTTACCGATTTCCGATGACGACATACACGCCACGATTTGCCGGATACGCAGGACTGCACAGTCACACGCTTTCCGGCCAAAATAGTCCTCAGCTGCGGGTCGTCGAATGTTCAAAATATTTATATTTTTTCGCCGTTTTTTCAATCAGATTCTTTAACATATTTTTCACATTACTTTTTTTAATTCACATACAATATGTCAGTCCTAGACGACGACGCCATAGCTTTGGTAGGCTTAGCTCTAATTCTTAAAAACAAAAAACAAAAAAAACGCGAAAAATGGGCCAAAGATTGGCTCTTAAAACGAAAAATCTACAGCCATGTCAATTTATTAAATGAATTGAGATTCGAACCACTGGATTTCAAAAATTATTTACGAATGGGCGAGGATACTTACCGTAATCTACTGTCAATGGTTGCGCCTTTAATACAAAAACAAGACACTGTAATGCGTAAAAGTATTTCTCCGCATGAGAGGTTAGCAGTTACCCTAAGGTTCCTCGCAACTGGAAGGACTTACGAAGACTTAAAATACACTTCAGTAATTTCATCTCAAGCACTTGGAAAAATTATTCCAGAGACCTGTGATGCTTTGTACCGAGTATTACGTAGGGAATATTTAACGGTAAGTACACAAAATATTTTAATGAATATATCATACTTTTAGATTCTGAGTAGAACGAAGAATGTATTGATTTTACAATGATTGTTTTTTTTAAATTTTTTATTTTTTTTTGTGTCCGTCATCACAAAATTTATCAAAATATCGAAAATTATCAATCACTGTAATAAAAAAATTATAAAATGTTCAGTTATTATAACTAAGGATTGAAAATTTAAAACAAAGATTCTCATAAATGATTCATACTGTAACCTAAAAATCTAAAAAAATACATAAACACAGTTTTTTATTAATTAATATTTATTTAAATCTATAATATGTAGATACATTGTTTAGTTTTCAAGAGAGTTTATAAAATTAGTTATATAATGAGCAGCATTTTCTGGTTGAGTTTGTTGTTGATTAGTAGCAATATCATCATTTTCTTGATACACGTAGACACCATTTTCAGAAAAAGAACTCAAATTAGAATTTGTACTAAAATTGGAATTTGAACTATGATTTCGCGCGTAACAGCTTGATGTAGTTTCTGCTGCTGTTGTTAACTTATGGTTTAATGTCAAGCTACCCATTTCACCCTCGAAAAGGATATCATTCATCAACTTTTCAGCAATGATTCGCTGCCTTTTTTCCAATTCCCTCAATCTCATAGCAAAACCTTTTGCACTAACGTCATACCGATCTTCTTCCATTTTCGGTCGTTTAAAATGATCACGCACCGATAGCAACACCTCAGTTTGCAACTTTGCATCGTTTTTTTTGGATTTTTCTGCCCTTGGTGGATTAACGATATCTGATTGCGCAACTGTCGAATTTACTGAGTCGATTCCTTCTACTTCATTTTCCAGATTATCATCTATTCCAATCTGAAATAAAAATGAGATAAATTTAATTTTAAAATTGAATACAATTTTAATTAAATATAATTTTTAATTAAATTTTTTTTCAGTTTCCTACAACTGAGAAAGAATGGAAAGACATTGCACAATTATTCGAGGAACGTTGGAACTTTCCACACTGTATTGGTGCGCTCGACGGAAAGCACATAAATATTGTTCCACCAGCTGGAAGTGGATCCGAATTTTTCAATTATAAAGGCCACCATAGCATGGTTCTCTTAGGTTTAGTAAATGCAAATTATCAATTTCTATTGGTAGATTTTGGAACAAATGGCAGAATTTCTGATGGGGGTGTTCTTCAGAATACAACGTTTTTCGAAAAACTACTAAATGAAGAATTAAACATTCCTTTCGCAGACAACATTGAGGGAAGTTCCAAGCAATTACCATATGTTTTTGTTTGCGATGATGCCTTTCCGTTACGAACTGATATGCTTAAACCGTTTCGACAATCACATTTGGATTGTTATGAAAAAAAAATATTCAATTACAGGTTAAGTCGAGCACGACGAATCGTGGAAAATGCGTTCGGAATATTGGCAAATCGATTTCGTGTATTCCATACTCAAATTAATATTGAACCAAAAAAAATTGAAAAAATTGTAATGGCATCATGCGCATTACATAACTTTCTCATTATAAATTCTGCTACTTCATACGCGCCTCAAAAATGTTTTTACCAAGAAGACATAGCAAACGGAAGTATAACTACGCTTGGATACAACGTTGAAAATAGTAATATGCACAGTTTAGATCGTCGTAACTCGGGGAATATTGCAAATAGTGCAAAACAAGTACGAGAAAATTTTATGAATTATTTCTGTAATGAAGGCACCGTGCCATGGCAAAATAAGTTTATCGCGTAATTTAGAATATTTATTATAAACGATATATTTGTATATTTGTATTTTTTTTTTTATTTGTATATTATTTTGTTTAATTAAATATTTCAAAAAAAAAAATAACCTTAATTGTTTTACCAACCTCAGATATGCTTTCATCTTGTATGTCCAAATTTGATTTATATAAATCTATAAATTCTTCCAAATTCCTACGGTTCATTATTATATTATATAATATAATTTAATAAAATATGTATAATATAATATAGTAAAATAACTTGTAATAAATTGTAAAATAAGTTACATTGACAACAAACAAAAAAAACAAACCTAAACCTTAAATAAACAGCAAAAGTACTATGCCGCAAAAGTGAACCAGCCGGTCGAACGACGGTTATATCAACACACGGGCACACACGATCCGGTATGCCTGTACAGTCATGACTGTACAGGCCAAAAGAATCGTTTTTCAATTGTTTTCCGGCCGCCTGTGCAGTCCCCGAAAACTGCGCGAACTTGTCACACACACGTTCCGGAATAACTGTGCAGTCCGCCTGCACAGTCCGACCTCTCCGGCAAACCGGAACGTGTATGGCTAGCTTAACAGCCCACAAATAATCAGATATAAGTTACAAATCCATGTTCTTAGTACTTATGATAGATAACTTTGGTATGTGGATATAGGTAAAAATATACATTTATTTATTATAGTTACTATTGTTGATTATGAAAAATATTTAAAAATATATATTTTTACTAACTTATTTTAAAATTAATATTAGAATTATATATTAATGTTTATTTTATATGCAACACTGGTTTAACACACATGAACGTCTAGCTACTAGCGATTATCTTATGGGATGTGCGATTTCTGCGCACCTTGAAATGAACTAATTATAAGCTGGCTAATAAATATAATATTATAATACAGCCACATTTGTTATATCGGTAAAAATAGAATATATGTATATATTTTTAAAAGCACTGAAATAATTTTATACTGTATAAAAGTCACAAATACAGAAAGACGTAACATAAGCATTGCAAATATATTTTAACTCGTATATTAAAATACCTGTTTATGTAAAGACGGAGTAGGATCGAGTATTATTGGGGAGATTGATATATTTGGGTAATAATAATTTTTATTAATTTACTATTAAAAAAATAGGTAATAATTTTTATTATTACCTATTTTTTTTTTATCTGGGATTTTTACTATGAGGAAAGGGGTTGAACTACTAAAAGTATGTAAGGGAGGTTACCTATGTCACTATGTTTATGTCATTTGCAATGTACCGAGAACTCCACATATTTTAGTTCATTGGTGTGATATTGTGGATTGTGGTTCATGAGTAGGTAATTGAAGTTTTTTATTTACATTAGTGCTAGACTCTTCCATGAATATTCTTCAAGGATTCCTCCATGATTTGTTATATTTTAACAATAGCCTCTTATAAATTTGGCGGTATATGCTTATAATTATATTGATAGAGATAATATGATAAAATTGATTACATTTTAACTATTGTATTGGACAAATATTAACATTAGTACTAAATGTAAATTATAATATATAGTATATATTCTACTATGAATCAAAAAATTTGTATGTACAATTTTTCTTATATGTATATTTTCATTTTATCACCAAACAGATGACATAAAAAACAAATACCGTTTTTTATTTAAATCTTATATGCGTAAATTTCAATGAGATTTTTTTTCCTATTTGAGTAGGTGTTAAAATTAATCAATTAAATAAAACAAAATCTACTTTAACTTAATTTTTATATCATGAATTTTAACGTTATGGTAAGTATAATTTCTATTTATTTATTTGTTGAAAACCACCTTGTACAAACTGTTTTTGATATCTAAAATCTAATTGTAAATAGTTTGTACTTATTTATTATTAGACAAATACATTTAACTAATCTACTAATCTAGTCAAATAAGATAAATAAAAATGCAATATCTATACAATGAGTTTATGTATTGATATATTTTTATCATTAAAATTTACTAAGAAAATTATGCTGATAAGTTGCAGAATAATAAAATTAATATTAAGTATAATGTAAAACCTATTATAATGGTATTATCAGCCTATCTTACAAACAAAAAATTGTTTGTGTTTAATTAATTTTAATTAAAAATATTATTAAATTATTAAAAGCATTTTTACTTTCAAGATTTAATTTATATAAATATTTATTGGATTGGATTGGAACCTTTGGAATTTTTCTAAATTTTCCTAAAAATTTAAAAATTATATAATTTATTTTTGTTTTATAAGTTTATTTTTAACTTCAAATTCATAGCTTCAACTTAAGTGTGTACTTTTTATTCATAAATACCTTATATTAGGCTATAATATAATTCCCTTGTTTTAATTTTATATACTTAAAAATGTTTAAAAAATTTGAATTTTATATATTAATTGACTACAAGGCTGTATTTGGGGGGTCCAGGATGTCTGAATCTCCCTGAAATTTCTTCAATATTTTACGAATGTTTAAAATATTTATTTATTTTTAATACCAGTAAAAATATTTTCAGTCAAAAATGACTTAAGCTCCAATTAATCATTGACAGCTTTTAATTTTATATCATAGTATCATATGAAAATATGATATTAATTTTAATAATATAAGATTAAATTTTTTTCTGTCTTATTTTTAACCAAATATCAAAAGTGAAAATCTAAATTCAATAAAATTACAATATACATGTTTTGGACCCCTTCTGAAAAATAATTTCTAGTTACAGCCTTGATTGACTATCTAGGTCCCAAATACTTTAATGAATTGCCTATTTTAACCAAAAAAGATATTCACACTAAGGTATTAAATAGGAGAAAAATAATTTATAGTTGGCTATTTTCTAATTTTTAATTTTCTGTTTTTTAATTTTATTTTATATGTAATTTTAGCAAAAGAAAAATGCTCCATATGTGGCTTTTTGATAAGTAGTATATTTATTTATATATTTATTTATTTTTTCCCTTTTTAACACTTGTGTATACTTAATAATTTTGTTTTTTGTTCAAAGACTGTATACATTTGGTTTACCATCTTATTTTTCTAAATATTATTTTTTTTCTTTTTTCTTTTTTTCTCTTAATAATATTTCATATTATCAGAATATGTAACTCTACTCTAACACAAGCTTCGGCTTAAAGGAATAGTTAATTTGTCTCAACAAAATAAATAAAAAATAAAAATAAAAATATTAACAAAAATCAAAATATAAAAATGCCAATAAATCAATAACAAAATGAAAAGTATTTAAGTATTTAAATATTTTTATAACTAATTTACAATAATTTAATTTAATTTATATACATATATATTTATTTTTTTTTATTTCTAGTTTTAAATAAAATTATTGTTGAAATGGAAGAACGAAAGTGGATAAAAAAAAAAGAAAGAGCTCTACTGGAAAATAATTTTGAAAACCTTTACTATGCTTGCAAAGAGTTAGCTGATATTTATGTCAATCAAGAAGATTATCAACAAGCATTGAGTCAATATGAACAGTGTGAAGAAGCGGCTAATCGTTGTGGCGATGAAATTCGTTTAGCTGTTGCAAATCGAATGATTGGTGAAATGTATTGTTATCTTAATGATTTTGAAAATGCTATTAAGCATCAAAAGCTACATCTTAAAATATCTTATTCAAAAAATGATATTGTTGAACAGCAAAGAGCTTTAGCCACATTGGGTCGTACCTATTTTTTACATTCTGAAATGTTTGATAGTAATGATCTTTATAAAAAATCAGAGATATTAAAGACATCTGTTAAATATTATATTAAAAGTTTAGAAGTTTGTAATAAACTTGGTAAAGAAGTTGGTATTAAGACATTATCTGAAATGAAAGCTAGACTTTATCTTAACTTGAGTCTTTGTGAAGATTCAGCTGGTGAACTAAATAAATCAATGGAGTACATAAATAAAGCAATGAAATTATGTTCTGATGCAGATTTGAATGATGAACTATGTAAATGTTATTCAATAAAATGTTCCTTATATTCAAAACAAGACAATTTTTCTAAAGCAATTGCATGTGTTGATGAAGGCCTTCAAATTGCTTCTAGACTTTCAAATAATAAAGATATTGGTACAGAACTTTTATGTTTAAAAGCTGAACTTTTAATTGACATTAATGACTATCAAACTGCCAAGCATGTTATGATAAAAGCATACAAACTAAAAGTGCCAATAAAAAATGAATTTGAAGAAGTGAAAAAGAAATTGAAAATTATTACAGTAATGAGTCAAACTGAAAATAATTTATTATTAGCTTCACAGACAGATTATGAACAACGTAGAAAGTTGAATGAAAAACTTGGAGATGCTTGTGTTGCATTAAAAAAATTTTCAAAAGCAATCTCTTATTATGAGAAAATGTTGGAAAATTCCGTACTCTGTGGTATGACTGATAAATGTTTAATACCTTGCTATGTTTCACTAGCACAAACATACAAAGACAATAAGCAATACTATCAAGCATTAGAATATTTTAATAAAGAATTAAATCTCTATAGTGAAAATAGTATTGAAGCTTGTAAAACATTATTAAATATTGCTGATGTTATGGAAGCTCAGTATGATTCATTTGATTCCATTTGGTCTACTTATGAAAAAGCTAAAAAAATTGCACAAAAAAATAATGATGGTAATCTTCAATTATTAGCTGTAAGTATTTCAGTAAATATCTAGTTTTAATCATTTTTTTGTAATTTTAAAATATATTTCAGGTAAAAGGAATGAAGTGTTTAGCTGTAGAAAGAAATAAACCAGATTTGGCTGACGACTTGAAAAGTGAACTCAATAATTTAATGAGATATGAAACTGAATCAATTGAAGAAGATGATGTCCCAGATATTTGGGATGATGTTTCATTAAAAGATCTTTCTGATATTGATGAAGAAGTTGATGATAAAAAAAGAAAACGGCATAAACAAACAGCCATACCAGAAAAAAAAAATGAAAAGGGAGAAACTCCAATTATACCGGCTTGTGCTAAGGGTAATGTTAAGTTAGTTTTAAGCCTTTTAAAACAAGGCCATTCTGTTAATGCAGGTGATGCTTTAGGCTGGACAGCCTTACATGAAGCTAGTAATTATGGATATGTTGATATTGTTAATGTTCTTTTAGACCATGGTGCTGATATTAATAACCGTGGTGGACCTTGCTGTGAAGGTATTACACCCTTACATGATGCTGCTGCTTGTGGCCACCTAGAAGTTATAGACTGTTTATTAGATAGAGGTGCAAATCCTTTAGTTAGAACTAATAATGGTGAGACGCCACTTGACTCATTGATAGCTTGTCGTAATAGAGTTATTTTAGAAGAAAAAAAAGAATTGGATCCAAGTAGACTTGCTCATTTTTGGTCAATTGTTGATCGTCTTAGTGAGTGCTTACGAAAAGCTGGCCATACACCTCCTGTACCTTTAACTGATATAAAAGAAATACTTAAAAATGGACAAAAACCAACTGACCATTATTTAGGAGTAATACCTGAGAATGACAAAAGATCAAGAAAACAATATAGATATATTGAGAATTTAGAAAGGCTAGAAAAAAAAGAAAAAAATAATGAGGTAGAAGAACTTGAAGTATTTGGTGCTGCAGAAGACTATAAACAAACAATTAGTCAATTAAGAAATCATAATAAAAGACGACGAGAAGATGAAGTACATTTTGAAATATCTCAACCTCCTTTAGTTGAGAATTCTGTTGATGAGTGGTTAGAAGAAGATATTATGTACAAGCCTAAAAAAAGATATTGTTCTGAAATAACTGAAAATAATTATTCACCGATAAAAGTAAATAACCTTGAAGATGATGATTTGCTTGAGAATAAAAAAAAATCAAATTTTACCTTGGACGTTGAGCCTAACTTAAGAATTCGAGATTCTGATGAAGATTCTGATATACAAAAAGATACAATTAAGAATAAATATACTCCTTTAATGCTGTCTACAAGTAAAAATAAATCCCATCAAAGTACATTAGAACATCAAGGATTTTTAAATATAAAAAATGTTTCTTTGGATGTTGATGAATCAATTTCTTCGAAAAAAGATGAAATGGTTACAAACATTAATCATACAATTAAAGTACGTGTTGAAAATAGATTATTCCTCGTACCAATACCAGCAAGTGAGGAAAATATAAACTTAAAATGGCTTTCAACAGAAGCGTCTAGACGTTATCAAAAACTTGAAGGTGTCAATCCAATTTTAAATTTGACTACTGAAGATGGAGCTTTACTAGATGAAAATGATCCTATTAATTTAGTTTATGGGTTACAAGAAGTTTTGGGTAATATTGTTGGATGGAGTACAGAAACTTTAATTGAAACATACAAAAAATCTTGTGTAGAATCAGGTATAACATTCAATGAACAAATAGCTCAGTTTTTAGATGTCTTACAAGCAACTGGTACTTTGAACATATCTGATTGTATAGTTATGTCTAATGTTTTGAATATTACACTTAATGTGGCTTGTCATTATCAGAACTTACAAATTTTATGTTTATCAGGTGTTGCTCTTGAAGACCATAACATGAAAATGTTAGCAGAATATTTGTCTAACCTACACCAACTACTTAAATTAGATGTAAGTTGTAATAATATTAGTTCTATAGGTATTGGTCATTGGACTACATCAATATCTAATAATAAATGTTTGATTAATTTAGAATCATTTGATATAAGTCATAATCCTATAACCAATGCTGGCCTTGCACATTTTCGTTTAATTACCCAACACTCAGTTAATCTACGATCTTTATTTCTTCGAGATGTAGATATTGACCATAATTGTTATGATTATGCATCTGAATTATACCTAGATAATATTGAAGATTTAGATTTAAGCTTTAATATGTTAGGGCGTACTGGAATTTCTGGATTTTTCATAAGACTCGATCCAATGCGTTTAAAATATTTAAATGTACGTAATACAGGATCATCAATGGTATTACGTGAATGTGCCCTATTTTTAGAACGTAGTCAAGCAGATTGTCTTCATTCAATAGATTTTTCTAGTCTTGATCTTGAAGATGAAGACCTAGACTTACTATGTAATTGTTTAGAGTCTGCTGGTAACTTACAACATTTATGGTTAGTTGATAATCCTCGAATTACACAAATGTGCATGGATAGAATTAAACATTTAAGTGTTAAATTCATTTATATGGCGGGATGTGCTCCAGTTGATATTTCACAAATTAACACAATTGATTTTGAACAAATGTCTTTAACTGGACACGGACAGTCAAATTTATTTAAAAATGCTCCTTACAATATGAAGGTATCGCTGTGATTTATCATTAAGGTTATAAATTATTTTTTTGTTTAATAATATATTAGAATTTTTCTATGTTAGTTATAAATTTTAATTTTAAATTTCTCCTTTTGTATCAAAACTAAAAATGTTATAATAAATATTAAGTGTTTAAAAAGTATGTTATATTTTTTTTTAAATTCAGTTGAATCATAATGTAACTTCTTTTTCTTCTCCTTCGCCTTTCTCCCAACTATTTGGGATCGGCCATCTTTGTTTGTTCTAAAAATCCACGCGTCTCGATTTTCTACATCCTCTACTTACTCATCGTTGCCCTCATACTGCCCTCATCATTCTCAATTATATCCAACCATTTCCTTTTTGGTTTTCCTCTTCCTCTTTTCCCTTCAACGTTCATTTTCATAACCACTCTTACTATTTTTGTTTTTTCTCACTTCATCAAATGCCCAAACCATCTCAGTCTATTTTCTCTCATGTTGTCCACTATTGACATTACACCAATATTATCTCTCGCGTACTCTTTCTTTATTCTATCTTGTCACTCCACTCATCCATCTAAGCATTGCCATTTCTGTAACACTCATACTTTGTTCTAATCTCCAATGAACTGCCCAACATACTATATAGTATACAGTATATAGTATATAATAACATATAGTATAATTTAATTTAAAATAAAAATTTATTTATAAATTAAGGTGAGTTGAAATTAATTGTATAAATATAGACTAATAAAAGTTGTATTAATATTAATAATAAATATACCCAAAACAAATCTATTAAAAGTTAAATTTAAATTTATTGTTTTTATATAGTAAATAAATATAACAAAATTAAAATAAAATAAATATCTATAAATTCTGAATTTGATATGTAATAATATAGTCCTTATGTTATATTACATAGTAGAAGTATTATTCAATAACATTTTACTAGTTAATTTTATTAAATTTTTACCATAGTTATAAAATTTAATTATTAAAAATATAATGTAAAAGTGAAGTGTCTTCAAATAATTTACTCATATTGTAGTTAAATACTGACAAAAATAAAAAGTAATAATTTGTAAAATTTAATCCATAATAATAATTAAAAAATTATGTGTATTAAATAAAATTAAAATTATAATAGGTATATCATGTACTCGTAATTGATATAATTTTGAGTTTCTCATATTCAGAGGTTTTGCTAAGAGTGGGGCTTCAATGATTGGATGTGTTGATATCTCGAGTTGTTAAAAATTAAAATAGTTAAATATAATTAATTTTCTACTCGGACGAAGGAAGCATGCGTGTGAAATTATTTTCATATCCTATAATTTTTTAAATTATGAGTATAGGGTAATAATGTGCAATTTACACAGTTACCAACAGCTAGAATTTTCTTTTCATTTCGTTGTAAAACGAGTTTTGTCACATTATGATTTATAAATTTAAAATCCTCTACTATCACAATACGTTTAGTTATTTTAATTCTACTCCATGCTAGTATTTAATGATGCGTAAACAGACCATTGTACAGTGTAGAATATCGATAAAGATACAAAAGTCATTACGTAATGTTACCCAGGTAACATCTTGTTAGTCGCGGTGCTAGGGGTGTGCGAGCTGTGCGGTTGCGCAGGGCCCCTCAGTTAACAAAAATTAGAGCAAAAATCTGTAGTTAATTCACGATTTACTATGAAAAATCGGGACCCCGGAATAAAATTTACAAGTATGAACTCGAACACCATTTATTATTGTCAAATACTTAAAATTAAATTTTATTATGAAGTAGGCAGTCGTAATCTTAAACATGCTAGATAACATTAGGCCGATAGCGCGTAGTGAATTGTTTACAGAAAAAAAAATAAATAATTAACATAATCATAAAACCTGTAAAAAGGTCTTTCGCTTCACTTAGAATTTAAAATATTTTTATAATAAATTTGTACTTCTTGAGAACACTTAGTCATAATTTTCTAAATAATTCTTCAACCAAACATTTTTTATTGATAAGAAAATAATGAAATTGTGATTTTTATTTGTATTATAAGGTGATACCTAACGCTTTTGTTACATCTTTTAAGTATTTGAAGACTTCCGTCAGAAAAATAGTAGAAGAGTTTATTTTTGAAAGCATATATAACCATAACTATAATGTATATACAGATTCATACTTTGTGCTAATATTATATTTTATTCTTAATCTAACTTTTTGTTTTATTTATAGATTGTTCAATCTTTCTAATAGGTAATTTATTTAAATGAATTAATTATATACATGAAAAAACAAACCACTCTTTGAATAAAAAAAAAACTGTAATGCCTCATAGGTTGTATAAGCAATCTATAGTCGTTAAACAGCGGTAATGATGAAAATCTACTTTAAAAAGCATTAAAGATGCATAATATTGCACCTAATTAAAAAAAAAAAATACCCCCAGTACAGTAGTAGGGGCCTCGTAAATCACGTGTTGCACAGGACCTCACGATGGCTAGAGCCGCCACTGCATCTTGTATCCTATCTACTACTACCTCATATACTGCTGTACACACAGATTAACCATAGAAGAACCAGAGGCGGCTTGTAAGCACTTACTACCGGGGCGGTACCTCGATAAAAACATTTTTATGTAAATTTTGGTTTAATAAATTTAATTTTAACAGGCATACCAGTACATTTATGAGCATATTTGAAGATACATAATTCACGTTTTAGCGTTTAAGTAGTTTTAATGTGATATGAGGGAAGCCAGGACAATTTTTTCAGGGTAGGTGGTATGGTTGGAATTATACTGCCCTGGTAAGATTTAAATGTTCAAACCGTCTCTGAGAAGAACAGAATAATATAAAATGTGATTGCACTCCAACGAATCAAAAAACGTATCAATTTCACATGATTATCAATAGTAGGTATACCTTTGTAGTATGGAAATTGTACCATGTACCTCTATATGCACGTTGCTACTGCGTGTTCAAAGCGCTGGAATAATTGTTAAGTTGCCATAATGCTGTGATAATATAATATTGACACGGCTTTGGACGTTTGCAACTCCCGTATGTAACGGGACGGGACAGGTATGCATGTAAACTGTCTTATGTGGTAGCCACTGTACACTACCTAACCAGTTATGATTAAAACCTGATTTTTAGCAATATCGAGCCACTTGCCTTGAACCGTGTTCTCGTTTTAATTTGTTTCTCTTGCTTTTGAACTCATTCAAAACCATATGTGCCGTACTTATGGATAGATTCGATTCATCTAATTTTTTTCTTTTTTCGATTTTATCTTACACGTTTTCAGCGATGCGTTTATTACGATACTACAAACATAATATTATTATAATTAATTGATATGTATATATAAATATAACCTATTCACCGTGTAGGTATAATGTGTGTTATTCAGGTTTTCAAACCTATTCATTAATAACGAGCGTACAATTGCAATGGGCTCACTTGTATACCATGTAATCTTATCTATATATTATACCTACATATTTTCATAGATATATGTGGCGATTAGTAGTATCTGCAACAGACTTTAGTACCTATTTAACAAGGAACATGTGAAAGTTAACCTAGTCCCGAAGACAGTACACTACGTTAAAGGATGTTGGGTGAGTAACATTAGTAGGAACAGATATTTGGTCCTGGTTACAATACAAATATATTGACTAGGCTCGGTTTTGTAGTCGAAACTGGTGTGATCGGTATTAAAGAGTTATTTTATATTGTATACAGTAGCGTATGTGAAGCTCAATCGAGGAGGAGGGCGATTTAAAAACTGAAATATAAATTAAATATGATAATATTTTAGTATTCATATAAATATATATTTAATTTATAATAAATTATTTTATTTTATAATGCCATTAAAAAGTTTATTTAAAAAAATACAATTAATGGCATTAATGACATTAATTAATTTAAAATAGGTCTTTTTTTCTTAATGGCAAATTTTTCTTCGTGTTTTGGCTAAAACAAAAAAATTGTCCATAAGCTCTTTGATAATCAATTATCTACGAAATCATGAAAAACCTCTGTTAAAACTAAAAGGGGGGGGGGGATGATTCACCCATCCTTAAATATGTTACTGATAAAAGACATGTTTTATTCAGTGCATTCTGCCTGCTGCAGTCGAAAGTATTGATAAATACTAAAATATATGAAAAAATGTGGAAGACGACATAAATGGTGAATATCATATTAATACCAGATTAATTACATTAACGATACGGCAATACGTAATCTAAACTTCGAATTATGAACATATAATATATATAAATTTATATATTACATTAATTAGTTAATATTTAACTGTGAGTATAAACTTAATACAACAGAATAGAAAAAGTTTATTAAATTAAAAATTAAAACAAAATATTAGACGCTAGGCCGATAACGATTATCGATCACAGAATTAGAATTCGAAAGTGATTTTAAAGTAGAAAATATAGGTATAACATATTTACATGATGTGTAAATTATTTATACAATCCATCGCATTTGTGAACCATAAATCGAGATAGGTACATAGGCGCAACTAGGGTAAAAAATCTGGGGGGCTACAGCCCTCCTACCAAAACTTAAAATAACCTGTAGATTACCCCTACCCTTATATTTCATGTTAATATATTTTAGATTCTGAGCCAAGTTGGATTTACTACAATGTGTCTTTTTTCGTATATGACACTATTGTGAGTTAAGTATGCTGTATGCAGTATGCCATGTATAAAATGGAATATTTATGAGGGGGCTAAATCTTGGTCTGGGAAGGGGCTAAACCCCTTCTAGTTGCGCATATGGATAGGTACCATTACTGTCGTATTGATATTTTTAAAGAGAAGCCTTATATAATCAGAAGTTGAAATATATTACGATTGGAAAAAAAAACCATTGATTTTTATCCCTATTCCGAGAGATAGAGATTAATGATTTGAAATGTAAATATAAAATTATTGTAAATAATACAACGTACTACATACATCCAGTACCGTGTTGGGATATGTAAAAAATAAAATTAAAATAATATTTCAACTAAAAGAAAGTCGTCGAACTGAAATGATGTTTACACATCTAACGGTGCCGAATGTCGAGATAAAATATAACAATATACTTGTACCTGACTATTTTCAAGGAAAAAAAAACGTATAGGAATAACGAAAATAGTTTACACGATTACAATACAAGTTCTTAATTCTTTTCACTTTGTGACATGCAGTGGTAGACTGCGGCTTTTTCTTGGTATTTGTGAACGAAATAATATGTATTATAGTTATATAGTCATACAAGAAAAATTATAATTTTATATAACAATATAATAATTATATAATATACTTTTTATTTTATGTTGATTCTCAAAAATTTTTGGCTCCATCAAATACCATAAAATTTGCCACCCCGAAGCAATTGTCCTCTGTTAAACGCGACTCTGCTTCATCGGCAATGTATTATCAAATCAATAACCACCAAAATATTAATTATTTTCTTATTTCTGGAGTATTATTATTTATACATCTTAAAAATAAATACATATATTGTACATTGTAGTATATTTTAGTTGCCCGTATCCTTTATACGTACACCTTTAAATATGTATGAAGATAGCAGAACCGAGGACCTAACTTATATGTGAAGGCCGAAGGGAATTTGCACTCGGTCTTCTGCAGCTCGCTGCGGTCATGTATATTATGCCGTATAATTATAAAAAGGGAGTGTAAATATAGTCAATGTAAGAAACTGAGCCGGCAATATGTTATTATATTAATTATATCAAATGGTAGGTATACTTAGTCAAATAATAATTCAGTACCTTACGACACCAAACCCATCCCTGCAGTGTACGTTTGTTGATGCCAATGATACCTGTAACATTATTATAACAGTATAGTAAACATTTTCATAGATTAAATATGTATAATTATTACTATTATTACCTATATTATTATATTAAATTTACGTTAAGTACCTGTATATATTTTATATTATGTTTATAATATAAACAATATATTATCAATATTATCAATATATTATATTGATAGCAAAATTGTGTATGAAACCATATTATACTTTACCATCTTTGAGGCTGTGTAGTCAAGGGTGGCCAAGGAAAATTCAAAAGGGAGGGGCAACATTTTAATTTATCAATATATTTATAAATAGGAATGACTATGAGATAAGAAGGGCTTACAATTTTACATTATACTATTACATTATATAAATAATATAAACCAAACTGAAAAATCATAAAATAATATTTATTTAACCAATTAACCATAAAATTAATTTATTGACATTTTTATTTAATTAATAACTTAAATTGGATACTTAAAAAATTAATTATATTTATTAAAATATTAGTTTATAAATAAAAATTGTAAATTTATTTTTTTAACATCAAATATATTTTTACTTGTTCTATGTATTCTTTATTTTTATCATCGATATTTTTTCTTATGTACGCATATCATACAAAAACCTTTAAGTCTATCTTCACTCATTGTAGATCTCATCCATATCTTTATTTTTCGTAATGTACTGAATGATTGTTTTACAGTGCATGTCATAAGAGGCAATGTAATATGTATCATTATACCTTTCTTGGTTACATGAAAAAATTCAGACTCCTTTATAATCTACCATTGTATCATTACATATATATCAATAATCATACCAAATTAAACCATTAACTTTTATATTAGGTATTTTAAAATGAATTAAAATTTTCAATACCTTGAAGTATTTTAATATATTCATTTTTTTGTAGTTTCATTTGGAAGCAACCAACATAATTTAAATGAAGTCTCGTTGTTTTTATTAATCGATTATTTAACAAGCTAATAAAATAGTCTAAATATGGTATATATATATGGATACTCTGTAATAATCTTCGATAGAATCATCTAATGAACAGTTATGATTTGATCGTTGATTTTGATGATTTGTTCTTCGAGTTATTTTAAGCACAAAATCTAAGCTTTAGTGATTTCCTCGAAGAATGTATTAAAATATTCTATGCTGTTTTCTCTATGTTTATTCAATATACCAAGAAGTTCAGTTTTAACAAATGTATGAACAGAATAGAGATTAACATTTGTACCTTGTAATTTGGTCACAACTGGTTCTAGAACTGAAGAGTAATAAGCAATTACTCTTAAACTAATCAAAAAAAGTACAATTCTATGTGGCTGATGAAAGTTAGAATGCACGATTTCTTGTAACAGCATTTGCTTTTCAACTAATAAATAATTCTTCAAGAACAGTTTTAATTTCAATGACATTTTTATCAATTAGCTGCATAAATTTGTACTTTTCTGACCGACGTGTCTCACAAAATAATAGAATATTTGGAATAAGTTTTCTTCTCAAAATACTTTCTCTAAAAATTTTAATTATTTCCTTTACGGAACCAATAGTATTTCAGATTTCAAAAATTGAATTTTAATAGTTAACTACTAAATTAAGCTTATGTGAAGCACAATAAAAACAACAAGCAGTTGGATACGTTTTTCGTATAATTGTCTGTCCACCATTTTCTTTACCACTCATGGTTGAACAACCATCAAACCCTAGGCCAACAAGTTTCAACATATTTAAACCATATTTTTTCTGTTGATTATAATTTATTTATTTATTTTGCATATGACTATTGGGTGATTTAAATTTATTGATTCTAATATACTTCTTGATAAATCTTTTGCATTTAAAACATGAATTTCATTGAAGTCAATAAATTCCTCATGCACTACATAATTAATATCTATATCGTACACCAATATCTATTGGTATAACTGTTCCTTTCCTGAAATATCTGCTATTTCATCAGCCAGTAAAGAAAATGCAACTGAATTATTGACTTAGGATATAATATTATTACGAATTACTTGACCACAAACTTGAATAATATCATTTTGAATTCTATGTGATACATATTTGGTTATGTCAAAATTTTTCAATAAAATATTATCACTTGAATCAACCCAAAATT